GGCGAGCAGGGGTACTCTTCGTTGCAGTGCGTGGACTTTTCACTCTCGTGGCTTCTAGGCACGCAGGCTTCAGTAGTTGTGGCGCATGGGCTTAGCTGCTCCGCAGCATGCGGGATCCTCCCAGGCCAGGGCTTGAACCCATGTCCCCTGCATTGGCAGGCGGACTCCCAACCACTGCACCATCAGGGAAGCCCATGGTTTACATTTCTGCATAGAAATCTTACTACTATATTCTTCCTGAATTTTGCCTTCACCCTGATCTACTTGACTATGTGGGCGTTTTGTGTTTTGTTTTGTTTTTGTTTTTTTTATTTTTGGCTGTGCTGGGTGTTTGTAGCTGCACGCGGGCTTTCTCTAGTTGAGACAAGCAGGAGCTACTCTCCGTTGCGGTGCACGGGCTTCTCATTGCGGTGGCTTCTCTTGTTGCAGAGCACGAGCTCTTGGCGCTCCAGCTTCAGTAGTTGCAGCATGTCGGCTCAGTTGTTGTGGCGCACTGGCTTAGTTGCTCCACCACATGTGGGATCTTCCCGGACCAGGGATCAAACCCGTGTCCCCTGCATTGGCAGGCAGATTTTTAACCACTGGACCACGAGGGAAGTCCTGACAATGTGTTTTTAACTTTTGTATTCAATGTATTTCTAAGCCACTTCACATCTTTTGTATAAGGATATTGGGAATAGAATAAATTAAAAATAATTAGAGAAATAACTTAATTTCAACAAATACCATTGTTATCAATAAAATATTTATTGACTCTCCACACTAGCACTATTCAAAGTTCTGCATGCTCCTGTACTTTTTTTTTTTTTTTTTTTTGCAGTACGCAGGCCTCTCACTGTTGTGGCCTCTCCCGTTGCAGAGCACAGGCTCCGGACACGCAGGCTCAGCGGCCATGGCTCACGGGCCCAGCCACTCCGCGGCACGTGGGATCTTCCCGGACCGGGGCACGAACCCGTGTCCCCTGCATCGGCAGGCGGACTCTCAACCACTGCGCCACCAGGGAAGCCCACTCCTGTACTTCTTAATGTTGCTGCCTGGCCAAGGGTCCCAAGAATTCTTGTCATCAGGTTTTCATACTCTTTTTCCCCTTTCTTGTGTGTAGCACAATCAGATATGGAATAGGGTGGCTTTTATCATCTATTGCATTTGCAACATCAAGAAAAGAATGGGGTTCTTTTCCTTTTCTCTTTGAGGATGGCATCTCGTAAGTATCTTTCCCTGCTCTCAGTCCTCCTTCTGGTCCACTCCACCAATTTCCACGACAGCTCTGCTCATTGGCTATTGTTGTTTTGGGATTCTCCTGCAAGGATCACAGGAGCCAGTCTCCTGCCATGAGAAGCAGATGACTCTACTGAGATAGGCTGGGACCTGGGACCCTTTACCAGAGTGCTCGCCCCTGGACAAACATCTCCTTGAGCAACAGAATACAAAGAAACTATAAGGAACTAAAAATAACTGCAAGCATGCACAGCTGGGGCAATTATGAACAATAGGATACAAAAAGGCCACAAACCAACTGCCACTTCTGAGTTGCTGGGAGCAAAAGCAGGGTACTGCGCGTGCTCCATGGGCACGGCACTGCCAAGTGAGTGGGCAGACCTCCTAAGCTACACCTCCTGCCCAACCCACAGACCTGCCCCCACTTGTTACCGCATTTAAGGACCCAAGCAGCTCCTTTCTGGAGCAAACAAGGGCACCTGTTACTTATTTTCTTTCCCTCACACTGCAGCACAAGCCCCAATAAAGACTTGCCTGAAATTCTCGTCTGGCCTCTTATCAATTTCTATTGATTAAAGAGTACAAGGGGGGCTTCCCTGGTGGTGCGGTGGTTGAGAATCTGCCTGCCAACACAGGGGACGTGGGTTCGAGCTCTGGTCTGGGAAGATCCCACATGCTGTGGAGCAACTAGTCCCGTGAGCCACAACTACTGAGCCTGTGCGTCTGGAGCCTGTGCTCTGCAACAGGAGAGGCCACGATAGTGAGAGGCCCGCGCACCGCGATGAAGAGTGGCCCCCGCTTGCCACAACTAGAGAAAGCCCTCACACAGAAATGAAAACCCAACACAGCCAAAAAAAAAAAAACAAAAATAAATAAATGGGGGGTTTAAAAAAAAAAAAGAGTACAAGGGCCTGGGTCAGTAACACTACTGTTACAAAGAAGAACAAACCTGACTCCATATTGAATCTATTCCTTTAGCTCTAAACTTTGTGCTCTGTTGCCTGTGCTTAGTCATGCTGGCTCTGCACCTTTGTAAGAGAATGTTACCTATAGCCTGAAATGTGCATGATGGCCCATTCTCAAAACATCTGCTTTATCAACTGCTGTCATCATCTTATCCTTCCATTCAATCATTCTCTCCTTCACTGACATTCCTGTGCTAGTCCTTATTCTAAGCACTATGGTGAGAGAGGAGGCTGGTTTTGTAGGCAATCTAAGGTTTCATGATTGGAATCTAATACAAAGTGGATGAATTAGTACTGATTAGCATTTCACAGGCAAGACAGCCATGGGACAGTCATCTCTCCACTCCCTCCTTTTTCCTTTTGAGATTCCTGTCCTTCAGATCATGTCCCTACTTCTGATTTGAGGAATCTTTTTTCTAGGAAGGAATATTTCTGGCTCCCTGATCAAGTACGTTCTTGCCATAGTCTCCTCACTGCATTAGTCACTTCTTGATTCCTTATGCTATAGACCAAGGGGTTCAGCACTGGTGAGAAAAGGTTGTAGACAACAGACACTGCCTGGCCCTCTTCTGGGGAGTAGCTGGAGCTGGGACACAGGTAGATAAGGGTACAACACACATACTGCAGGAGAACCACCATGAGGTGGGAGGAACTAGTGGAGAAGGCCCGGCGCCTTCCCTGGGCTGAATCCATCCTCACGATGGTGGCCACAATGCAGCCATAGGAGAGGCAGATAAGGAGCAAGGGAATGGCCACAGCGGCCACACTGATGGCACAGAGAGCTGCCTCATGCCTGTGGGTGTCTGCACAGGCCAGGCGCATAACGGCAGGCGTGTCACAGAAGAAGTGATAGATTTCATTGTGGCCACAGACTGAAAGGTGGCAGATCAGAATGGTCAAAGGCAGCACCAACAGGAATCCCAGACCTAAAGAACCTAAAGTCATCTGCCCACAGAGCTGCCAACTCACGATGAGGTTGTAATGCAATGGATGACAGACTTCCACGTACCTGCCATAGGCCATGACAGCAAGAAAGACACAGTCAGATTCCCCGAGAAGGATGGAGAAGAACCTCTGGGCTCCACAGCCAGGGAGAGAGATAAGCATCCTCCCCATGGAAAGGACGCCAGCCAGAGTCAAGGGAGCAATGTTGGTGGAGTTGCCAGTCTCCAGCATGGCCAGTGCAAAGAGGAAGAAGTACACTGAGGTATGGAGGGAGTGTTCTCACCAGACTGTGAGCCCAGTGGTGACATTTCCAATGAGGCTTCCTGGGTACAACAGCAAGAAGGCCATGAATATGAGGGCCACCACTGCCTGGTCTGTTGAGAAGGGGTGGAAGTGGAAATGGACCGCTCCCGTCTGGTCGTGCTCTTCCATTAGCCCTGGTACCAGGAAGGACATCATGGGCAAAGTGATCCTCCTGTGTCCTCGAGCTTGCTTGTGTTAGAAACACAGTTTGCAGTCATTGATTCCTTACCTTCATTGCTTCTTTTAGAGTTCAGTTAAGGTGATCTTGCCTCCTGCACTGCTTAATCTACTAGCTGTGTGACGTTGGAGAAGTTATGGACATCAGCGTTCTCCTTTTAAACATGGGAAGGGTGTGACACACACCTCGGAGAGGTGGTGTCTGAGAGTGCCATGCCCCATGCCAGCCATGCAATAGAACGGTTCTCAACAGGGTTTCCTTCCAATTGCATTTTTTCCTTGATTTCCGTTCCTCTTTTTTTTTTTAAAGCAAACCTTCCTGAACATTCTCATGCCTCTTCATTACTATGATTGTCCAATCACCCCCAGGACACCTTAAAAGTACATATTTGTACAAAGAGCATATGATTCTCATATCCACCCTAAAAGGCTGGCAACACAGGTGTTTCCTTTACCTGTTTTACAAAGGTGGAAACCAGAAGCCCAGATAAGTTAAACAGCTCACACTGCTATCCTCCCCATTCCCAAACTCACAATTTTGGTATCATATTTTTTGTTTTTGTTTTTTTTCTTAAACTTTGAACAATCCAATTTTGTTCTGTTTTGTTTTACCAAATACTAACCCTACTCTTGTTTTACCTTCTTTCTCATATCTGCCTTCATTTGCATTATTACGGTGTCCACCCTAAATAAGGCTTTCATCCCCTCATGTTTAGTTCACTGCCCACCAACCCAACTTATCATACTTTTAGATTAACCTCTCTTAAACACTTTTAAAATCATATTACTCTACTCTGACCCTAAACTTAAAAAGCAAAGGAACCTCAAATTTATTAGTCAATCATACCTCGATAAAACTGAAGAAAAAATAATAAAGGAATCTCTTATTCTTGTGATATTACATACAATTATCACAAAATAATTTTATAAGTGAAACTAGCATAACTTACCTGGGGTATAACTTCAGGAAATCCCTCAATGACCAAAATCCACCGTCCCATCTCACCCACCACACCTTTGTTCTAAATCGCTCAGTCCTTATGCATGACTCTTAAATTTTCTTTTAATTTCCTGCAAGGTAGACTTGCACATATGCAAACATACTTTCTTGTGTTTATGGATTACCTTTTCAATGATATTCAAACAGCCGAAGGTAGCATCCTACAGAAGGGTCTTTGCATTGATCTTTTCAGGGGGATTCTCAGAGAGGCTGGGCCATGCCAAAAACACTTTCCTGCTAAAATAGAGGGGCAGGGCCAAAAACATATGCAAATTAGAACGTTCAACCACCATTGTTTTTTTGGTGTAACAAGTGAACCAAGTTTTACCATTGTGTTTTCTTTTGGTTTAGTTGTTAACAATGATCCCCAGCGCTGGCAACGTTGTGGACAAATGAGCATCACCAAGCTCGCTGGTGGAGAGGTGAGAGGTTCAACATTTTAGGAAAATAATAATATTTTTAAATGCTCATGTTTTGTCAAAATATTGACAGTTTTCCAAGGTGAGTAATGCATACCTAAGTATTCATAGTACTATCCTCTTAATTTGTGTAGACTTGAAATTTGCCAAATAAAAAATTAGCACTTGAGTTTAGTTATCACACTTCGGGAGTCTAAAATTAGAAATTAATGTGAAATTAGAATGACAATGGCAACAACAAAAACCTTTATATACAAGGTAAAAATCATAGCATAATTTTAATAGGGAATAATGAAGACAACTTAATACGGAATGCTAGATTCAGTTGATGAAATACTATGCAATTGTTTAAAGTTATATTTATAAAGACAATGTAATAACCTGAAGATATCTGTGATATAATACTAAACAGAAAATGAGATTTTGAAAATGAGGATCACCTCACTGTAGAAAGAATGCACTCTGAGTAATGAGCCTGAAAAGTGTTTTTCCTGTTCTATATTTTCTAATATTCTTTAATAAACATCAATGCTCTTATCATTTTAATTAATTGCAAACTTATAACATGACAAAAGGAGAAACAAGCAGTGTCGTCCTCAAACTGTGGAGTACAATCTTTTGCAAATTTTTAAAGCAAAGTAGACAATTTATACAGAAATTAAGAAAAAAGTTTGTCTAACCACAACTGGTCACTATATTTTCAATAAGAAAAGTGTCATTCCATGAATGCACATTTCATCCTTCATTCAGGTAACTTATCATCAATCACCCCTGGAATGGAACTGAAGGAAGTTTATTTTTCTAGCCAGGCTGCTTTCCCGGAATGCCTACTGCAGAACAATCCCTGTGCATCAGCTGTTCTATGGAAACATCTGAACCAAAGCCATCATGGCCAGAAGCACCAAGCACTTCAAAGGAAAGTGCTGATTTGGAAGCTTGAAACTGGCTCTTTCACAGTTGGTACATGGTCAACACATTCCTTTCGCTCTACCCTGTTCACTCTTGAGTTATTTGTGTGTATGCCTGTCTCCCTGGCTGCACAATACACTATTAGCATCTTTGACGGCAGCTTCTATATTTCGTTTGCCTTAACACACATACTCACACATAATTTGCATATAGTAAATGCAACTCAATTTTTTAAAATAATGAAGCCAACTTGACAAAGCCTAGTATCCTGAGTCACAGCAGGGAAAACTGTAAAACAAAACTAAAATGTCAGCTAACGGGTATTGAGTGCCCCTTAATGTCCACTGCATTGCAAATAATAACGACTGACACTTATTGGGTGTCAGGGACTATTCCAAGCACTTTATGCCAATTAACTCATTTGCACCTCAAAATAAACTTATGAGGTAGGAGCCATTCTGGTCCTTATTCTACAGATGAGAAAAACCAAAGCACAGACTCCAACCCTGGCCAAATACTGCAGACTGTACACACTTAACCACTACTCCGTGTTGGCTTGCCGTGAACAACTATGTCCTCATAGTTGTCTCCTTTGCAGGTTTCAGCTTTGTATATATGGACTTGGGGAAGAATAATGATTTGCTATATTCTGTCTAGAGGAGACAGTACATCATCTCCTAGTTGGGAATCTTTAAAAAAAAATTAGACACTTAATATTCCTACTGCTGGGAATTAATTCTAAAGAAGTCAAAGGGATGAAAAAGGTATTCATATAAAGCTATTTCTAGTAGTATTGTTTCTGTATCTAAAAGAAAGAAGCAGATCACACAACATATGGGGAACAAAAATATCTAACTGTTCTACAGTCATTCAATAATATAGTGTATGAATTCAGTGCATTAAAAGGCCTCCACTAAGAAAAGAATGCAGAAGTAGGGGTGAAAACCTTAATGAGGAGGTAAGAGACCCATACACTGAAAACTATAAAACGTTGATGGAAGAAATTAACTATGACACAAATAAATGAAATGATAACCCATGTTCATGAACTGGAAGAATTAATATTTTCAAGATGTCTGTGCTGCTCAAACTTATCTATAGATGCATGCAATTCCTATCAAGATTCCAATGGCATTTTTCACAGAAGTAGCAAAAATAATCCTAGAACTCAAATGGAAGGAACCAGAAAAGATCCCAGAGCAAAAGCCATCTTGAACAGTAAGAACAAAGCTGGAGATATCACACTTCCTGATTTTTTTTTTTTTTTAAAGAAGATGGCGGGGGTAGGAGTTTAGTAATTTATTTATTTATTTTTGCTGTGTTGGGTCTTCGTTTCTGTGCGAGCGCTTTCTCTAGTTGTGGCAAGCGGGGGCCAGTCTTCACTGCGTGGCGCGGGCCTCTCACTATCGCGGCCTCTCTTGTTGCGGAGCACAGGCTCCAGACGCGCAGGCTCAGTAGTTGTGGCTCACGGGCCTAGTTGCTCCGCGGCATGTGGCATCCTCCCAGACCAGGGCTCGAACCCGTGTCCCCTGCATTAGCAGGCAGATTCTCAACCACTGCGCCACCAGGGAAGCTCCTACACGTCCTGATTTTTAATTAGAATACAAAGGTGTAGAAATTAAAATAGTATGGTACTGGCACAAAAACAGACACATTGACCGATGGAACATATATACATTAGTCAGCCTAATAAAGAATGAAATCCTGCCATTGGCGACAGCAAGCACGAAGCTGGAGGAGATTATGCCAAGTGAAATAAGCTAGACAGAAAAATAAGTGGTGATATCACTTATATGTGGAAACTAAAAAAAAAGTTGAACTCATAGAAACAGAGAGTAGAAGTGTGGCTACCAAGGGTCAGGGAGTAGGGGGAATAGGGAGATGCTGGCCAAAGGGTATAAGCTTTCAATTATAAGATGAATAAATTCCAGAGACCTAATGTACAACATGATGACTAAATTGAACAATAAGGCATTGTATACTTGAAATTTTCCAAGCGAGTAGATATTGTGTTCTCAACACATACAAAGAAACAACTATATGAGATGAAAGTTATACTAGTTAGCTTGATCGTAGTAATCATTTCACAATGTATAACAAAATGTCACATTGTACACCTTAAATACGTACAAATTTTATTTGTCAATTATACCTCAACAAAGCTGAAAAATAAAATATTGAGCATAAGTCTGTGTATTGGAAGGAAGGTTGAATAATTGGTAGCTCTTAACATTCTCTGCACCGTGTGAATTTTACAGTGTTTTCTCCATAAACCCCCACAATAATCCTTTTAAAGCTAATAACGTGCTATGTAACATAATGAATACTGCACATGCATTATCTCATTCAATCTCCACAACTTCTCTATGAGAGGGGAACATCACTCTCATTGCCACTTTACAGATAAGGTCACCAAGGCTTCGACCATGTGATTAATGTACCCAAGGGCACACATATAGTCAGTGGCTGAGCCAAGGTTTGCGTCCGAGTCTGTCTGAATTAGACCTACTCTTTTAACCATTCTTATGTATTACCTCCAAACCCCAAGTTTTGAAAATTACTATCTGCCTAACTCTATCTTTTAAACAAACAAAGAGTAGTAGTAATAATAATGATACATGTATAGGGCTTCCCCGGTGGCGCAGTGGTTGAGAGTCCGCCTGCCGATGCAGGGGACACGGGTTCGTGCCCCGGTCTGGGAGGATCCCACATGCCGCGGAGCGGCTGGGCCTGTGAGCCATGGCCACTGAGGCTGCACGTCTGGAGCCTGTGCTCTGCAATGGGAGAGGCCACAACAGTGAGAGGCCCGTGTACCACAAAAAAAAAAAAAAAAGATACACGTATAGATGTATCCCAAGAAAATGTATGACATATGCTAGGGCTTTTTAAATATTAAAATTACCTTGAAAACTCCATTAATAACCTTGAAGGTCCTTTGAGATATGGATATCCAACATATGGTCACCCACTACATGACCTCTAAAATCCCTTCTAGTTCTATGATTTCATGAAAAACCTTTAAAAAAAATTTTTTTTTTTAAATAAAAAAAGAAGCTCTAGATGGTCCCCATTTCTCCAAGGGACACTGAAAGAAAACCATCTCTTCAGGTGCTTTACATGAAATTGAATGAAGCATTAGTTTCATCAATGTCAAGTAAAATTTTTTTTTGGCTGCATTGGGTCTTCATTGTTGTGGCGAGCAGGGGCTACTCTTTGTTGTGGTGCACAGGCTTCTCATTGCAACGGCTTCTCTTGTTGCAGAGCACGGGCTCTAGGGCACGCGGGCTTCAGTAGTTGTGGCTCACGGGATTAGTTGCTCCGCAGCATATGGGATCTTCCCCAAGCAGGGATCAAACCTGTGTCCCTGCATTGGCAGGCAGATTTTTAACCACTGCACCACCAAGAAAGTCCCAAATGTCAAGTAAATTGAGAGACCACCGTCAGGATTTGAATGGTTCAATACAGAACACCCAAGGAGATGGTGGGTGAAAAGTTCCGGCTTTGATATGTTAAATGTGAGACACTTACTAGGATCCAAATAGTGATGTCAGCTAGACAGTGGATATACTAGTCTGGAGTTCAGGGACAAAGTTAGGCTGCAAATAACATATCTGAGAGTTATCAGCCTGTTTTTGTATTTAAAGACAAACAACTGAACTGGATTACCTACCAAAAAAATGTAAATAGAAAAGAGGGCCTGGGGCCAAGATCCAGCCTGAGTGGGAGTTAGGGCAAGTATAGAAGCCAGCAAAGTAGACTAAGAAGGAATATCAGAGATATGAGAGTAGAGTCAAGAGGAATCAATTTCCCAGAAGCAAAGAGAAAAGGGGATATTGCAGAATATGGAAAAGAACAAAAAAACAATGAATAATGCCGCATGTGGAAATTTTCTTTTTTGAATGTTATTTCAAGGTAAATCAAGTGAAAATAGTAATTTTTCTTTTCCTCAACTGACCTCATCACTGAGTTCATCAACAAGTGACTAAAAAATAATCCTTAGGGAAGCTGTACCAAATGGAATAATGGAATATAGGAACACTGAATTTAATCTTGTTGTTTTATGCTTCCCAAGCAGACCTTCCTGAGTCATCTCA